AACTGTGAAGTCTTCCCTTTTGTGTTACCTTCACACCCACAGGATGTCCATAGCTGTGCGATGTTATAAAGGACTCGGTTGTCAGTGCCAAAGTCAGACTCTATAAACCTGCTGATGAACCCCGTAAACCCCAGAGAGGAGCTGGAGCCAGACTACTAAAGGTTGTTAGCTACTAATTGCTACATTTCTAGGGCCCATTCAAGACATCAAACCCATGTGGCAGAAACCAGGGATGCTCTGCTAATTAGCCTGACACTGACACTCTTGTCCTCCAATGTTCCCAGGACAGTGATAGTCTGTAAATTTGTATGAAGGATTTTAACATGCCTGTTAAACATAAACGTGTATCTGTGATGTTTTATGTGGGGGGTTTTTGTCTCTTAATAACACAAACCACAATTTAAGTACTGATTTCATTTTTTTTTCTCAGACAAGCTGTGGCCGTGCCTTTACAGTGAAGACTGGGGGGTTAATGCATGATTCGTGGGATTTTACCCTCCTATTGGCATCCAAAATGTCCACGAATCCCTTCTCAGTTGAGACAACCCAGAGGAAACCTTAATGCCTAATGAGCAACGGGAAGCGCTCCAGCACTCTTCTAGCCTTTAATTTCCACCTCAATACTAAGCAGAGCACGCCCCAGCCCTTCTCCTAGCCTCATTAACATGTGTATTCTTCCAATTCAAAACACCAAAGTACTTCCTTCAGCCAGGTGCTTCCCCCTTTGGCCCCTCCAGCCTTGGTGCTGTTGATCCAGTCACACATCCCCGTCTGAGCTATAGCAGAATTAATGGTGAGTCATGGTGAGGTTAAAAAAAAAGGCCAGGGTAGAATAACCCTCTTTCCACCTTTAAAATGGCAGACAGCACAGAACAGACATTTTGTAAAATCTGTTGTTTAGTGACATTGTCCCCAAAATAAAACGTGGGTCGATGATGAACATTGGTATTTTTTAATTGCCTGATGCTTTGTTTTGCTTTAAAGCGCTATGCATGCGTAGTCAACTAGGGCTTTAGTATGTCACAAATGAGTAGCAGTATAGCACATGACTATATACAAGTGAGACTTAAACAATTAAAATTTGTGTATGTGAAAATATCTGTGCTAAGACGTGCATGACAATGTAAATAAAAACAAATGTTGTTTCACAAACTACTTCTCTGTAAAATGCAATAAATTGAGTTTTACAGTTAAAAATTAAAGATTAAATTTTTTTGCTCCTACTCCACATCCTTTTTTGACATTGTCCATCTTAAAAAAACAAAAAAACAAATATATTGTCTTTGCAAGACTGTCCGCCACACTTGTCTTGTCCTTTTATGATTTTAAAATTCAAGTCAGTCTCTCTTTTGTGAGTGACAGTTTCCCCTGTGTATGAAAACTTTTAATAATTTCCACAACATATTTCAGTTGGGTGGAAGGTTTTCACCCCATGGTTTTGCTCCAAGTCAAATACACCCATGAACTTGGAAAACTTTCACATCAAACAGTAACATGTTGCACACCAAGGGAAATTTAGTAAATACATCACACCCCGGCTGCGAGAGCTGAGAGGCTATAGAGGCAAAATTAAGCTAGTCTGGCCACAGTGACTTTTTGCAGTTGTAGCGGTGTCACTTTATGAACTGGCTGATGCTACTGGAGGCCGACCAAGTGTTTGATGATTGTAGCCACACACATTTAGTCCATCTATTTAAAATATGAGGAAAAAATTAAAACATGCAATAAAATATACACAGGGTGGCTTTGCAAAAAAGATTTTGTAAATAGATCACAGACTTGACAATTACAATTACAAGTAGCCTTCATTTGTTAATTAAACTGGACTTTAATAATTGCATATGCTGTATTAATACTCTTCTACACTAGGCGCCTATAACTATTGTAATTGATCACAAACCAGTTGCCGGGTGTGTCTGCGCAGCTGTTGTGCTTCAGGACAGTCTAATTAGCAGGCTACGATCAGTAGCCCATGACAGGATATGATGTGTACCTGCCTCTGAAGCTTTTGTAAACACTTGGGTGTGTTTTTCCCTCTAGATCATTTTCTGCTTTACCATAGTTCAAAAGAAAAACATGTTGTCACCCTCCCTTCTGGTCTCTCAAAGGACTGCACTTTGACTCTTCGTGCGGCTGTTTCAACAAGTTATTTTTAGTAACACTTATAATCTTTTTTTATTATATGTGGAACTATAATTGGAGCATGTAGGTTGACAGGATGTACTCAGATCATAGCAAGATAATTTATCTTGATTTGTCTCTAGTTTGATTAACAAATATAGCCGATAATTTACAACTTCCCTGACTGAAAAAAAAAAAACTTGAGGAAATTTTGTGGATGGAGTCTGCTGTTTTTGTTTTAGTGTGATTTTTCTGTGTATTTCCACACTCATACTCACATGAAATAATTCTTTTTGATTTTGATTTTATTTTTTTGGGGGGGGCTCATAACTGATATATATTCAGGCTGTTTAGTCTGCTTCTACATAGTCGTACAAAAAGAGAATTAAAACTGTCCTTCAACTACAAGGCTGTTTTAATGACTTGATAATTGACTTTAGGCTCTTTATGTCACACTCATAAGTCGTTCATCATGAATTAAAACTGAAGTCTGTAAAATAAAAACAGGTTTATTTGCCACATACGTGTTTTGTATTCTTTATCTCCCTTCAGCCCCGTCCAGCTGTCTCATCCTTTAAATCCTCGAGCCCTTTAAGTTTGCATGTCTCCCACTTGCCCCTTCCCTCAGCTGTTCCATGCCCCTACTCCACTGGGATTGATACAATATTTTCCAGCCTCAATTAGCAGCGAGTCTGTTGACTAATTCCAACTGTTTTTGCACCTGAGAGTTGTGAGCTGGGGCTGGAAAAACTGAGGTTGGTGAGGCGGAGGTGAGGGACGCTGCTTGGGTGTAGCAGGCAAAGCTGTCGGGGCAGCAGAGCTGTGTCGACAAGAGTGTAAGGGCAAACCAGAGGACAGAGTGCGGAGCAGGTGGAGGATGGGGCTAAGACTAGCACTAGGAAACGCTATAGGTTACACAAGTATATTAAAGGCAGAATTAGTACTGGGTCTCTCGGTATTGGTCTCTGTAAGGATCTATGTGTTTTTGCAAGTAGATTCCCACAAGCTACATCATATATATTACACTATTTTTAAATCAGATGGAAAAAATATATCTCAATTTATTAGAAATCTTAAAAAAAGATTACTAATGCATTGTCTTTCATGTCTAGTACCTGATTTACGTCATTTACCATGTATAACTTTCGACTTGTTCTGCCTCCAGTCTATAGCATAGTGAAATTCTCTTGCTCAGGACACTTACAGTTTAATTTCAAGGTCTCTGCAAGAGTAACAGTGCTCTTAAACAGAAAAGGAGATCTCAAAATGGTCTTAAACCAGATCTGTCCCAGTGTGAGTTGCAACCACAGGCTGACCACAAGGTTCATTTTGTTAAATCTAAGGCAAAGCCTACATGACCGCTGGTTTGGCACGGTGCTCAGCTCAGGGTGCAGAACACACCCTCATTCTGTGTGAGTGCCGAAAGAACCGTTCTTTCCACCAAAGGAAATGAGAGGATGATGGCTAAAGTGTATGAGGACATTACATCTAAGGGGACTGTACTTTTTCATTAATGGCTACTACAGCCTCCTAAGAGTAAATGACCCAATTGGCAAAAAGTAAAAAAGCATACATTTCACAATCAATTTTGCTGTTTTAAGACATTTTAAATGTCAATTTCTTCTTTTTGCCAAATGTCTTTCAGTCCTTCGGCATGACTTCTGTCAAACTGTCAAATACAAGCAAAGTTTGGGAGTAGTATTTTGTTATGGTAGCTGACATTTATTACCACTAATGTGAAAGAATAATGTCCCAACTTGGATATGCCCACGGGTCCAAATTTAACACAGTAATAATTCATCTCAATTTGAATTTATACCAGTGTGTGTGGCTTTTAAAGGTTCTGCCAGGTGACTAATCCCGACAGGTTAACAAATGTCATCCAGTCTGCCGCTTGGAGATCACTGAAATGGTGGCAACAGACTGACTGGCTTGTTAGCTGGACGCAGCAGCTGTTCTCCCCCAGTAGCTGTATGGAAAAACTCTGACTCACCCCCTTGTATAAAAAGGCATTAAGAACCAAACACATAAATATTACAGTCAAAGGCAAAAATGTCTCTAAGAGCTGTCCAATAAGTCAGTCAGCCAGTGACTAATGGAGAGGAAGGTCAGATCATGACCAGAATCAGTTCATCTGACCTGGTCAAGTAATGGTGGTTAAGAAACCATCACTGCATGAACAAGGTTTTCTCAAGTGTCCACAAAGCATAGATTGTCCGACAGATTACAAACTGAACGACACAGATCTGTCTGAATATGCCCGTCCAGTTGAGTTTATCTTGTTTAACTCGTCAGACATAATGTGGGTTTCGGGGCAAAGCCACACTGCTAGAGAATTTTACATGAAATTCCTACTTGCATGCACACCCACAGAAAGCCATATAAAATCACAATAAAGCGCTTTGAGTGCTCAGATAGAGTAGAAAAGCGCTATATAAGGACCAGTCCATTTACCATTTACCAACAGAGCAGATGAACTGTGAAGATTACAAATTGGTCTGTGTTGGAAAAAAGTGTTTCAGAAATGTGTTTCAGTATGACTGATGCACTTTCACCACAGTTTTGACAGGTTAATTCCCAGTGAAAGGGAAACTTTTTTTTTTCCAAGACCACTTTGTCTTTCCTCAGTGCCTGCTGTCCCACGAGGGGTCTAAACCATCTCTAGGTTATTCCCTTCCTACCTAGCAACGCTTCCGCCCTGCTCTAAACAACGCAACACAAATTGCTCAGCAGTGATATGACTAAGGGATATCCCCATAAACAGCTGTAAAAGTGAACAGATAAGAAAGTTCAGCCATAAAAATAAATCCGAAAACGTCACAGGGCATCCTCCCTCTGACACAAATTTCAGATATGCAACTTTTTCTCACTTTACTTACTGTCAGCGTAGTTTTTACGTCGAGTGCCGTCCACCTTGCCGGTTTTGTCAATGCAGAGGAAGAACTTGTTGGCAGAGTAAAGTCGCCGAAGTCGGACGTCACCCTCTAAGTGATTATAACTGCGCGTGTGCCTTTCCAGTGTCCATGAACAGTTGATTCCGCTTGCGAGCACCTGAAGGGGTTCATGCCCTACTCGAGGAGGACAGGCCCCCGTGACAGTACCAGCGGTGACCAAGAGCACGGTGAAGCATGCCAGGCAGAGTGAGGCTGCACTAGGCAGGGGGAAATGTGGACCAGCAGAGGCTGCAGTTGTAGCGGTGGTGCTGAGGGCAGCTTCAGGACAGAAATGAACTGCGGACGCCGTCCATCTGCACATGGTGGGTCAGACTCCCAAGGTGCACCTTGTGCAAGCTGTAGGCATGCTGATGATCAGGAGAAGTCCCTGTGGAGGGAGAGAAGGAAGGGAAGCGGCACTTACAGCAAATCCTCTGGATGTCACAGCCGGTCTCCACTTTGGGCTGAAAGCGGGCCTTCCTTCCTACAGAATCAGTTTTGCCAGAGTTCCTCCAGTTGTCATCTTCAGTTGTGTTTTTTTTTTAATTCTTTTTCTCTCCTCCTTTAGCAAAGTGTCAAAATTTAACAAATCCAGTTTTTTGAAGTTCCTCCTTGATGCTGCTCCTTGCTTGTTTGTCGTCTCCTCCTTTGACTGAAGTCTTCTTCACTGGTCCATAATTAAAGTCCTGGGCTCTATGAGGATTCACATACGTGTGTTTGAATGAGTGAGTGTAAATGTACAAGTGTGTTTCTGTGCCAGTTTAAGCATGTGTGCGTGCACCTTGCAATGCTCTGCTGTTTCCAGCTGGGTAGGAACAAGTTGCCTGTCTGAATTGCTGACCCGTGGCAGAGAAAGAGTTGACTACTTCTAGTGTGTGTGTGTGTGTGTGTGTTTGTGTGTGCGTGTGTGTATGTGATACTGAGAGAGAAAGAGTGAGTGAGAAAGAGAGGGAGTGAGTATGGGAGGTGTTTGTGACAGAGAGAGGCAGCGAGAGTGTGTCTGTGTGTGTCAGAGTCTGCGAGCACAGGGCAGCGAAGCAGTGAGGCAAGCGAAGCCACGCTCTGCTGTGTGCAGTCAGTCAGTCCTCTCTTCTGTGAAGGCAGCGGCTCAGTTGTCCTGCATTTTATCCTGGGCAGGGCCAGGAGAAGGGTGGGGGGATGGGGCCACTGCACTCATTCATAACCATTTCAAACAAATGAGAAGCCTTACATCAAACACCATCCTCATTTTAATCTCTTACAGAAAACTTTGCTCTGTGAGAAATAGGTAGTTTGCCTTTAAACTTGAGGATTTTTTCTGCTTTTTGTGGTTACAGACACCTGGAGAGGTTCAAACTGTCTTTCAAGATGTGAACGGTGAGACTTTGTAACACAGTCAAATCAGCTCGATCGCTGTCCAGTTAAACCTTTTTTGACACTTTCACTCTGCACATGGGGCAAATTAAGGGAGCCTTCCCCCCCTTTTTTAATGGTTGCTGGTTTGAATCATCAAGCAGTCAGAAACACAGAGCAGGTTGTGAGTGTTGGTAGACCTAGTCCAGATGAAGTCTGAGAGTCTTTCTGATCACCTTTGTTAATATTTCAATGGAACGGCGTCTCTGATCTTTACCATTTAATTTGGCAGAGCAGGATGGAAATGAAGAACACCTTTTTTTTGTGAGTTCACACACTTGTCTGCTTTTAGAGGCTGTGTAATAAGCCTGATTAGATCAAGGTAAACGAGCACAGTCAATGCGTTATTTTATTACAATTTTTAACAATATAAAGAAAACTAAGAAAAACCTCTTGAATAGTTTTGAAATTTATGGAAATTTTTGTCATTTTGGTAAAAAGATTCACTTCCTTTCTTCTTTTCTTTAATCTTTATGGTGAATATAACATAGAGCCAGCAGCCAGGAACAACTAATGCGATTCAAAAGTATGCGTAAGAGCGTAGAACACAAGATGAAAAAAATTACCAATTAGCTTTGCCACTCATCTCCTTTTCTTTATTTGGGTCCTCGTTTCAATTAGCACCCTGACCTGAGGCCACACTTGTCCAGTGCTGGAGGTGTTTCCGAGGGCTTCACGTTCACAAGTGGGACAGTCACTTCACACTCTGTGGGCTTTTTGACTGCCGCTAGAGACTTGAGCCCTTTTTGCATGGCCACAGTTTGCCCCAGCTTTCAGGATTTCATATTAGGTCATAGTACCTGGTACTGACCAGGTACTAAAATAGTAAACCGACATTTTTGAAACCCAGTAATGAGGGAAATGTCTACAAAAAACAATGTTGTGGTCCCCCAGTCTGACAAGAAGCCACAGACCGAGCAGCAGGTATATCATTGCCTGGATGTCCACCTTTGTTGTAGCGTTCTGTCACATACTAATTACGCTCAACTTTTAATCCCAGATCGCTCAAACCATTCCTATAGATGCCATTGTGATCTTGAACTTGGTGCCTGCCAGTCTCCATGTAAAGACTAGTTTCAGCATAAATCTAAAAACGTTGCTTCCATTTCTCTTCAGCTTATCAGAATTTAAAGGAGCTTTAAACGAGCTTATCAGCATCACTTAAAATAGTAAGAGGAACATGCAGACGAAGAGAAACATCTCTCCATCTATTTTTGTCCGCTTATCCAATTCAGGGTCGTGATTGGGCTAGAGCCTATCCCAGCTGCCATATGGAGAGAGCCAGGGCACATCCTGAAGAGGTCTATCACAAGGCTAAAACCAGTCACTCTCCCATTCACACCTACAGACAATCTAGAATCACCAGTCAACCTAACATTCTGTCTTTGCCCGGTCGGAAGAAGGTCTTTGTTATGAAATTGACGTAAGGTCTTTGCTTCATCATGAACAAAAGCCCCCTTTTTTCCCTTTGCTGAATTCCCTCTGCTTACTATTCTTGGACAAAGGAAGCTCCCAGGTTGCTGCACATGTTATTTACTCTAAGCTCTTCATTGGCCTCAACATGTACTTTTACAATATTTCACTAATGATGCTCAAAACAACGTCAGACACTCCCAAAATGTGCAATACAATTTTTTAAAAAGTATTTTAGTCAAGAAGAGAAGCCCACTTAAAGTAAAGAATAATTAAATACAAATAATTATGTTTGTGTCACTGCCAAAACACAACAATACAAAGACATAAAGCCATGGACAGCAAAATGGGCAAAAAGAGTCCCAAGGAAGTCCCAGTTGTCCTTCCTATTCTGAAATTTCCTGTAATTAAAATCATACAATCATTCCAATGTAGAGCAGAACTTGTCAAAAATCTGAGCGCCTCCTGAGGTCAACAACAAAGCTCAGTCGTCATGTGAAAATCAGATGTGGCAGCAGATTGCTTTGTGGCGTCTTAGAAGTACATTTTTGGAGTCTGAGCTCAGTGCCAGAGCACACACACAAGCATAACGTGTCTCTTTGTTTTAATATCTTAGCATGCAATGTCTTGATGTTTTATAGTGTGAATGTTTGATGTCAAAAACTACAGCAATTTGTGATTCACAATTATAACAGATAAGAATTGATTAAATTTCCATTTAAGCTAGTTTTGTTCAGTCTAGTTTATGTTTTCAATTTGTAATCCAGTCGGCATGTAGTGCTGCATAATTTCTAATTTTATAGAGCAGAAACGAACACAAGTGGAGCTTTGAAAAAATGCGGGACTGGTGCTAATGGCTTTTTGAGGCTATAGTAGTAGTTCTTAGACCTTTGCTCTAAGCATCACTGCACGAGCATGCTATCATTTCCAAATACAGACCCTGCATAAAGGAATACCATTAATTAGACATTTAAGAATCAGTGGAAAAAATTACAATTTTAATGATGGCAGTAGCAGAAAGGTTAAAGAATTGATCTCAATTCATACTAATGTGTGTGGGCAAGAATATCTGAGCAGAATATGATGGCAATCCATCCGGTAGTGGTTGAGAACACCACAAATGCCATGCCTGGAAAGGGGAAATATCAGGTGACTGAGAAAGTCAGTGAGATGTGCCCCCTGGGGACCATGTATCTCTGCACAAAATGTCAACGTATTCCATCTAATAGTGCTTGAGGTTGTTTTTTTATTTTTATTTTTTCAAAAAAACATGGTATAAAGACCAACCGTAAGACTAGCAATGTCATCTAAAGAGTAATGGCTAAAAAGATCCTGGATTAGTTTCCCCCTTAACGGAGTTGAGCCATGCAGCGTGGGTGTGCCATGAACTGAAAACAGTGAGAGCCGGCACCCATGGAGGATGTTCCCAAGTAGAGGAACCTAATCTCTCCCAGCAGGGATCCAAGCGGCTCTGTAAGTGTATGAATAGAGATAATATCTCTATAATGAGGCCTGTTTTGTACCATCAAAGTCTTCAAAAGGGTCTGAAATATGACCCCCTTCCTAGAACTGACAAACCCTCAGTAATAGCTCCCTATTATTAATTGTTTTGCCTTCCTGCTAAATCCTTGTCTCGCTCTTTCTCCTGTAGCTACTTACCCTTGAAATAGTGCTTTTAAGCAGCCTCACATTGTGCTAGTTTAAAACTTTGGTGTGTTTGTTATCGTTGTTTTAGATAAGAATCGTCACAGATAAAATACCTTGCTTCCTCTTATTCCAAAGCATAAAATATTAAAACACTCACCTAAGGAAGTTGTATCATACACGTCACTCAGTGGCAGTAATTGCTTATCATTTCAGAGCGTCCAAGAGTTGTTGTTCTAGAGCTAGCACAGGTGTGCTCGCTATCTGTGAGATGTAGCTGGCTGACAAATGTACGGATGCTGTCCACTGAGGACATTTGCATGTCCTGCTTCGTGACTACTGTCTATTGTCAGCAATGTTATGATAACTGGATTGTATATCTGATGGTGTCAAAAGTTCTGAGAGATGCAGACTCACAGTTCTTCACAAGTTGTTGTTAGGAATGATTAAACCTCTGTAGACAGATAATCTGATCTATCAGAGGCATGTAAAAAAAGACACAGATGAAATAAAATCTTGATATGGAGATTGGCCCAACACCATGGTTCTCCTAAATTATTCCAAAAAGATAAACATGTAAATGCGTGGCACGAAACGTGACAGGACATTTTAACGTCTTCACATCTCAGTCGATCTTAAGATGGACGAGTGTGGAAAATCTGTAAGAGTAGTGTGAGTACATCAGTCCATTAAAGGCCCTTAAATAAGACCACAAGATTCTTCTGAGGTCAGTCTCCCTCTAATGGACATTAATGGATATGGGATGAGCAGTTTTTGTAATGTATGGTCTTGGAGTAGAATATATATTTTAAAAAATGAATTCCGAGGTTCATGTATGGAGGTTCTATAGAGAAGCTGGGTGAAGAAGCCTGCTTTCCACACACAAGCTACCACATTATTACAATGTAAGTAATGTAGAGTGCACACCAAGGAGAGGTTAACAAGCACACACAAACACATGCCAAAGGCATTTAGCAATACACGCATCTCTCCATCAAGTTTCCCTAACCAGGTGAAGCAGTTTCAAAAACCGCCGTCTTCAATGTGTTAAACAAATAGGGAGCCCCTACAAAGGTGTGCAAAAGAATCCACATGATCAAAGTGTATGAGAATGGCAGCCTTGTCCTGGCCTGGCCATTATCAGGCCCCATGAATGCCTGTCTTCTCCTCTTTTGTCGGTCGGGGCATTGACAGTCACTCACCCGGCAATGACTGTCACACCAGTGCAAAGAGCCAGCCGCCGACAGGGGCCAAACCACATCAAACGAGGCTGTCAAGGGGCCCTGCTCGTGAACCGTTGCAACAAACACCTCCTGATCCTCACCTACAGCTCAGTAGCAGACACCCACCGCTGTGCTCTCAGCCGCTGCCTACACTGAGAAAAGATGTACTGCCCGGACCTCATTTCCCTCTTTGGCCCCCCTCCCTTCTCTCTTTCTCTCTGTCAAGTA